TATATGGGTATAAGCCCCAATATATTCAAGGGGATTATCTTCCTTTAGGGCAGTGATGGCGAACCTTTTAGAGACCGAGTGCCCAAACTGTAACTCAAAACCCACTTATGCATCGTCGGGTGCGGGATGGGTGTTGCCATTGGCTGGATGTGGCCAATTGGGTGGGTGTGGCCCATTGGCTGGGCATGGCTGCGGTAGTAACGGCAGACTGGGTGGGACTAAAAAGTTCAATTAATCAATTCCAACTTTGCAAGATCTTTTTTTTCCCCGCAAGAAGTTGAAATTGACTAATTGATTGAATCTTTTTTTTTTTTTTTGCACACGGCGGCAGAGGCCTAAAGTGAAAAGATTTTATAAAACCCAGCTGAAGGCCTAGGACTGGGGTGACGGCGCACGTGCCCACAGAGAGGGCTCTGAGTGCCGCCTCTGGCACCCGTGCCATAGGTTTGCCACCACTGCTATAGGGATATTTCCATGTGCGGGGAGCAGGAAGAGAGGGGTGTATGTGTCATGCATAGTTACCCAGAGTCACCTTATAGATGCGATGGGGGACATATAAATCTAATAAACAAATAAACAGTCTTTGCATCATCAAACTCATCCTAACGCCCACGGAAGCCTTCCTCACCTCCCACCTTTTAATTCATTTTAACATTTCTAGTCTCTTTTTAACTTATATATACTTTACTTTTTAAATATTTCATTGCACAGTGAAGGAAATGGGTAGATCTTAAATAGGACTGACTGACGGATAAATTATCAAGGGTGGGGGGGCAGAGGGGAAAGTGATTCCCCACTTTTTAAATGCAGCAGCCCCTCTGTAAATCTTTGGGGCAAAAGGCAATATAAAACGGAGAGCCAGTTTGATCTAGTGTTAAGGCAGCAGGCTAGACAGCAGGAGTATTTAGTACCACTTTATAAAAACCTTAGCAAGACCACATCTGGAATACTGCATCCAGTTTTGGTCACATGACAAAACAGATGTTGAGACTTTGGAAAAAGTTGCAGAGAAGAGCAACTAGGACAGTGATGGCGAACCTTTCAGAGACCGAGTGCCCAAAAACTGGCCTTTCCCCCGCCCCACCCCCTGCCCCGCCCCACCTGCCCACAGGGCCACTCACTGCCTCCAGGGCCCGCAGCAGATCACCCAGGCAGCCCAGCAGCGCCATGGTGGCCGCGCCCTCTGCCCGTGGCCTGCAGCATCAACTGCGTGCAATAGGGCGTGAGGGCAGTCTTGTCTACGCTGCCTGGCTGCCATGTCCTTGGCTGCACTGCTCAGTGTGGGCCACGCTCGGGGGCAATTCTCCTCCAGGGGGGCTGCTGGTGAGGAGGGGGTCGTGGGGGAGGCGAGGCTGGGGCAACGGCACGTGTGCCCACAGAGAGGGCTCCGAGTGCCGCCTCTGGCACGCGTGCCATAGGTTCGCCACCACTGAACTAGGATGATTAAAGGCCTGGAGACTAAGAACGGTTGCAGGAACTGGGTAGGGCCAGTCTAGAGAAAAGAAGGACTGGGGATGACATGGTAGCAGTATTCCAGTATTTGAGGGGCTGCCACAAAGAAGGGAGGGGGGGGAGGAGTCAATCTATTCCCCAAAGTACCAGAAGGCAGGACAAGAAGCAGAGAATGGAACCTAACAGAGGAGAGAAGCAACCTAGAACTAAGGAGAAACTTCCTGACAGTGAGAACAATTAACCAGTGGAACGACTTGCCTCCAGAACTTGTGGGTGCTCCATCACTGGAAGCCATTTGGGTGGGGTTGGACTAGAAGACCTCCAAGTTCCCTTCCAGCTCTATTCTATCCCAAAGAGTTCTAGTCCCACCTGAGCCAGTCCCTCCCTCTCTCTCAGCCCCAACCCACCTCATAGGGTTGTTGTTATTGTGAGCTTTTATTGTGGGCTATTATTATAGGAGGCTGGATTTTTTTGCTGCCTTGAATTATATATATATATATATATATATATATATATATATATATATATATAAATAAAAATGTAAATGTTCGTTTGTTCAAAATCTTAAATCTCTGAAAGTTCTTCACCGATTGCTTTGAAATTTTGACACAACGTTGCATTTGAATACGCGCTTGTTTTTATATACCTACTATTATATAGATGTCACACCTGTGACAGGTAAAAACATTTAACCTGTCTGAGCCACAGCAACGCGTGTGTGTGTGTGTGTATGTGTATATATGAAAAATATATAATTCAAATATAAAAATAATAGCAAAGGCAGGATGCAGATAAACAAAACTATTATTATTACTATTACTATTATTATTATTATAAAACCAATGAAATAAAGAGAAAAGCAGAAGAGAATTACCTTTTTTAGGAGCAGCAGCAGCGGCGGCGGCGGCGGCGGCGGACTTCACAAAGTCTCCCCTTACGCCCCCCCCCCAAAAAAAACCACCGGCCTGTGTTTTAACGCTCTCCCCCCTCCCCTTCCTCCTCCCCCTCTCCCCTCTCGGGCCCTCCCCCTCTCCTCCCTGCCTTCGCCCGGACCCTCCCCGGGAGACGTGAAATTGACTCAAAGAGGCCGGAGCGGCAGCGGCAGCAGCAGCACATGGCGGAAGGTGGGGCTCCCCTCGCCGGCCAACCAACCTTGAGCCCGGGCGGGCTCCGCCCCGATGGAAGGCTGGGGCGGTGGGGGGGCGTTCGGGCGAGAGCGCCGCGCTTACTTTAGGCTTCCCGGCCAAGTGGCGACGGCGCAGCTCTTTGGAAGAGTGGCCAGGAAGCCGGCGGCGTTGCGAAGCCCCGGCAGGGACGGGCGAGCCGGAGAGGGGAGAGAGAACCTCTTAATAGAAAAGTGGCGAGGCTTAAAAGGGGAATCGCCGGCAGAGGCTTAAACGAAAAAAAGAGGAAAAAAAAAAAAAGAACCTTGATCTAGCTACCTTTTCTTTCTTTCTTTCTCGCTCTCTCTCTCTCTCTTTTCTTTCTTTCTTTCTTTTTGCCATTTGATTCCGGAACGGGGGAAAAAAAAGAAAGAGAGAGAGAAAAAAAAAAGGTGGGCGCATGTTTTATCCAGACTCACGTTGCCAGCGCGTGCGTTTCAAATCAGGATGGGCATTGCAGTCTTGATCCTAATAATAATAAAAAAAGAAATTTTTTAAATTGGGAAGGGAGGGAAGGATGGAGGGAAGGAAGGAAAGAAGGAAGGAAGTGAGGGGCAATCGGCACCCCTGTGCGCACACACACCTTGCATTTATATATATATATATTTAATATATTCACAAACGCGCGCACACACCCCTTTGCTTGCCTCCTTCTCTTTCATTCACCCCCCCCCCTTGCAATGCCGCTTGTGCCGCTGCGCCTCGGCGTTCTTCTTTCTTCTCGCTTTTATAAGGGGAGCTTCTCGCATTGTTGAAAAAGAAAAAGGAGAAAAGCAAGAGCGCGAATAAAAGCGGAAAAAAGTAGATTTGGGGGAGGGAAGCGGGGGGCGTCTCGCAAGTGAGAAACCTGTTGTGTGAACGAGCGAGAGGCGTCTTCGGGAGTTTCTGGGGAGTGAAGAAAGGCAAATGAAATAGAAGTCTTCGAGAGGTGTTCCGCCAGGATCCGTTTGATTTATCTATTTGTCTCTTGTTTTTCTTTTAAAGGGAAAAAAAAAAAGCCTCGGCGTGACAGATTCTGTTAAAAGAAAAAAAGAAAGAAAAGCGGAGGAGAAGATACGGAGGAAAAGAATAGCTGAACGCTCATTAAAACTGGGAAATTCGGACTGAACCGTGTACGTATGCTTGGAACCTTCTTTTTAAAAAGAAAAGTAGATTTATTTTATTTTTAGCGAGGAGGAGGAGGAGGAGGTGGTGGAAGATGAAAAAACAATTCCTAATCTAATATCCGTTTCTGGGCAACTGCTAGCCATCTGGGAAAAAGAAAGCGCTCGGCTCTTGAAAAGCTTTTCTCTCCCCCCCACCTTCAAAAAAAAAACAAAAAACCCCAACCAAAACCAGGAATTGTTTTAATTCCTTCTTTTTTTTGTGACTGTTGCCGGGGTTAGACCTGGCAGAATCCAGAAGTGACTTCTCTTGAGACTTTGCTTGCTGACTTGGCAGTTTTTCTGCCTCTTGGTGAGGCTGGGAGACTTGTGAGGGGTGCGTGTGTGTGTGTGTGTGTGTTCCTCTTCCCAAAACCCTGTGATTTCCATTAGCTACTTTTCCTCTGGATTTCCCCCTTGAAGCACCCCCAAAATTGAACCCTCTGCCTCTTGGTGAGACTGGGAGACTTGTGAGGGGTGCGTGTGTGTGTTTCTCTTCCCAAAACCCTGTGATTTCCATTAGCTACTTTTCCTCTGGATTTCCCCCCTTGAAGCACCCCCAAAAATTGAACCCTCGGCGGATGGAGGTCTTCTAGCGATGGTTTCACGCCTGCAGAGAGTTTGAGGGGAACCAGAGGAGGAAGTTTGCAGAGCGCTCCTTTTTTAGGGGAAGACAAAAAAAAGAAAAGAAAGAAGAGCAAAACGACCCTCAACCATCTGTTCCTAGAAAACAAGACTTTTTTTTTCTCCCATTCGAAAGCCGCTGCCATTGCTTATGGTCCTGACTCTAAATAGCTCTGCAGAAACTCTCCAACCTTGATGGCAGGTAGGATGCTGCATCCTTGCATGCCTAAGAAGATCTTAAGAACTGCAAAGGTACCCAGAACCGGCTCCGTCTCCGTGCAATAAATTAGGAATCCCAGTCTCCCCAAACCCCCCCCCCCCGAAAAAAGAGTTGGCATTACAAAGGGGGGCGGGAGGGGGGGCGAAAGAGAAAGCCAGACGGAGGCGATTTAATGGGAAGATGACCGCTCCCACCCACCCTCAGACATTTTAAGAAACATGCCAAAATAAAAAAAGAGAACTGGACTGGGGGGAGTCCTTCTTCTTGAAGCATCAAAGTGCTTTAAGAAAAGAAAACAGAAAAAAAAAAATACGAGGCGAGGAAGAAAAAATATCTCCCTGCAAAAAAAAAAAAAAAAAAGGAAAAAGGAGGAGGTTAGCCGAGCGCCAATCAAGTAAAATGCAACTTTCGGAGGTAGCGGCGCTTGTGGTCGCCCTTATTGGGGTTTGTGTCTGGACGGAAGACGGGAGCAAAGTTATCTCGGATCGCTTCGCGGTGTACTGGAACAAAACCAATCCTAGGTAAGTGGAAAAGGGAACCGAGCTTGAACTGGGGTGGGGGGGAAGGTTTTTGTCTGTCCTCAGTTGCGTTTGAATGGGGTGGGGCTGTGGGGGAGAAGAGGTTGGGAATAGGGGGGGGGCTTGGACTTTCCCTGTAGATTTTTGGGGGGACGTTGGACAAAGTGGGAGGAATAGGAGTTTTCCACTTGGGATGCCTGTAATGGAGGTAACAATCTAGTCTCTGGCTCTCCCCCCCCCCCCCACAACCCCTTTGCAAAGACACTTAACTAGAAAAATTGCTGCAAAAAGAGACCGCTGGAGGAAATATTTCCAGCTCAGGAAAAAAAAAAGTTTTTTCCAAACTATTAACCTTTTTTTAAAAAAAATGCATCCCACATTGTCGCTTGTATCATCACTGTACAAGCTGTGGAGAGGACAGAAGAGTTTGAAAGTGGAGTTTTATCCTGAGTGGCATGAGGAAGATTAATCTACAAACTCTTGGGAAGGGACCTATTTTTGTTTTTTCTTTTTAATGATGACCAAAAAATTTTTTTTTGGGGGGAGGCGATTTTTGGTTGGCGGAGAGATGCTATTTTGGTCTCTTTCTAGCTCAGCTGCTGTGTTCTTGTGTCATATCTGGGTTTGTCTGGAAGTTTAGATCAGGCAATCCCATCTTCCTAAAATTTGTAATGATTGCAAATAGTTTATACTAAAGGGCTGGACGAATACCTCACATAAAACACTTTTGGTCTCCTTTTTGCAGATGGATATTTGCTTAGTCATCATTGGGAGGGGGCATTGCAGCAAATGTTTATACCTGGATTTTTTTTTTAGCAAAAATTTGGGTCAGATCATTTTTTCCCTACAAAACTCTCTAGAGGCCAAGAATGCTAGGTTTGCTTAAATTTCACATCTCTTTGCTAGTTTCAGGCTAACTTGGATAAATTTCACTGGGGTGCCCTCTGTCTCTCATCTCTTCCCCATGCCTCAATCCCCCAAAATAATTCAATATTTGGGAGTATGGATATACACACACACACAAACATACAGACACACACACACAGTCACGGACAAGCAGTTGTCCTATATTTTCGCACCTTGGTGAAAATAAGAAATATTTAAATCAGTCATCCAGAAGTCAGTTCTAGGAAATCATAAGACTGTGCAGCCAAGGAGAACAATTTTCTGAAGCAGTGCAGACTGTAAAATCAATTATATGTCACTTAAGGTCTCGATCTTGTCAAATTAAAACAGTTTTCTACTGTGCCTCTCTCTCTTCTTAACCACTTTGGATGGAAATACGGTTTTCTTTCTTTTTCTTTTTTAAAAAAAGTGCTGGACCAAATAGGCAGACTTTATTATTATTTTTCCTCCCACTGGAGGTTGAATTTCCAAAGCAGCTTGAAGAGGAAAGTTTTATATTTTCAATTTAGATGGTGTGTGTGTGTGTGGGGGGGGGTTGCCTTGATGTTCCTGTAAGATAGTTCTAAATGTGGCGGTATAGAAAACTGGGCAGGATTTTTTGAGCATCAGGCTGGCAAATGTTAGAAACTCACTCAAAGAGGTTGACCAACGGATTTTTGGTGAAGGACATGGTATTTGATTATATATTTTTTCTTGGGGGGGGTGATTAGATTACCTCTTTCCAATTCTGATATAAAAACCATAATTGGCAGCCTAATTGGTTGGGTTATAATGTTCAAGTAAATCCAACATTCCTAGAATGTGGGGTCTGTTTGCGCCACCCTTGTCCACGCCAGGCTATTGTGGTCTGTCAGCTTGTAATGTGAACACAAATATTGTTTAAACGAATCCTCTTACTCTTCCTAGGTCCAAAGTAAAGCTGAGCATTCAGAAGTGACTTTTTTCTTGCCGAGGGCTTATAACAGCTTTCTGAAGTAGTTGAAACAGGCTGTTGGATGACAGCCAATCTTTGATTGCTCATAATGGACAGGATCTTAACCCCAAAATAACAGCTTCTTCCTTTAATCTTAGCAAACTCCAACCCCACCCTCCCCCTAAAAATTAAAAAAAAAACCTTTTGGAAAAAGTGATTCTCATTCAGTCTCCCAGTTGAAGGAGAAGCTGGCATAAGCGTTCCCCTTTATTCCATTTAGTATTTCATACATTGTGTTTAGTATTTCATAAATGGTGCATCGCTTCCGAATCGTGCATGGCTCCATTGTTTTCTCTTTAACTCTAAAATCTTAGAAACCTTTTCTTTTTTTAATTTCCTTTCTGCAATTTGACCACAACTATGAAACGAGAGCAAGAAGGAGTTCCTTCTTTATCCCAGAGAGAAAGAGTAAGCTAGTTTCCCAATACAACATTCATTTATTGAGAGCAAAAGCTAAAAAAAAATCCCCACAAAATTAGCAGTCCATGGGATATCTTTAGGGAACAACAGTAAAATTACGCCTGCAGTTTTTTTGTGAGTGCCTTGGCTACAGTTGAGGGTTTTGTGTCTCTTGGCACAAGTTGTGTTGTGACACTTGTTTTCAGCACCTCTTAGCTACCTGCTGATATGTCAGGGCTGTGTTAATGCGTGTAGAAATGGACTGGGGTATCATCCAATTATGGAAAGGCCCGCAACAGACAGAGAAGCTTGGGAGTCTGAATTGTTTGCTGGCAGTCACTTTTCACCAAAAAATAAAAAATAAATAAAAAAATCTCCCCATTGGGCACAAATGCCCCAACCAGCAGATTTATGGGCCTTTTAATGGAAGGGAATTCTTGTTCCCTCACAACTTGGAGCTTTTAGGAGAGAAAGCTCTTCCCTCTGCCCATTTCCTGCCCGGATGAATAAAAAGCTTCATTCTCCAACAAAATGTTTTGGGTTTGAAGAAAATTGGGGACTGATTTCAATGCGGACCTCTGTGTTGTAAGGACACGGGGAGAAGTTGAAAAGTTTAGAGGCCATATTGGAGATTGTGGAGATGGCTGAGCTTTGAGGGAAGGATCTCTGGAGACCATCATATTCTCCTGACACTTGCCCACTTCTTGCCCAGCCTTTGGTCTTTGCCATCATAGTTTAGCAACCCGAAGAACTGGGGATAATTTAGTCTTTTCTATTTGGGGGTATGGGGTGTTTGAGGCTAACCTACGTGAGACACATGGATTATTTTTCTCAGGGAGGAATTCTCCATTTGTTTTACTAGTCATTAACCTCTTTCATTTTTCTCCTCCCTCCCCCCCCCTTGTTTGCATTGCTATTTCTGCTTTTTTCCCTCACCTCAAAATCCTAAGAGTGGAATTTGCCTGATTTGGGCTGAGTTTTTAAATTATTTTTTATTTTTTAAAAAAGCCGGTGGGCCACTGACCTTCACTGAACCTTGCCTTTAAAAACACAATCCCTATTTTGGCACTGTTTGTGTGGCTTTCTTTGTGTGACGTGGAAGATATTTTATGGCAGCTGTGTTTCCAGGGTTTATTTGGGGGGGTCTGCCCCCCCTCCCATTTCTTAAGTCATTGATAATTAAGATTGTCTACTTCCTGATTCTTGGCTTTGTAAAAAATTAGTGAGTCCTCTCGCTGGGAATCTCTGAAAGGTCCAGCTTTGGAGAAATGTGAAATATTGGAGTCACTGTTCTGTTTTCCCTCAAAAAACTGAAAAAAGATTACAAACTTTAGTAAATTAAAGAAAAAAAATGTGTCTAATGCAGAGCAAGGTTTTTTATATGAATGAACATAAATGGACACTAGAACTAAATTAATGTCTTTTTTCACCACCTTATCAGTACTTTATACATAGTTCGAGTGAATGCTGATGAATTATCCTAATCATAATGCAGATAGTGGCTATGTTATTTTTCTGTGAATTTGCCTATGGAAACAAATACAAGTTCCTGGTTTATTCTCATATTGTTAGCGTTCACAGGTAAAAGATAATATCATGTCCACAGTTGGTCTTTCCTCTCCCCGAAACCAAAGATAATCAGATGTGCAAAAATATTTTGCAGTGATGGGGTTGCAAAGAGGCCGATTTTGATTCTAACCGATCACAATAGCAAAACCCAGCTAGCAGTTCTTTCACATTTCATGGTGTCAGTTTTGTGGAAAGTGTGTCAGTTGTGTGGGAACTTAAGTGGGTAAGAATTTGTACTGCTAGGTCAGTGTTGGGCGAGTTTCTTACCCTTTAGAGTGTCAAAAGTTGTCCATTAGGGAATTATTTCCTAAAGAACTTGGAAAATAAGAATTTCAAAGTAGGTCGTGCCCAACGCTTAAGGAAAAAAATGCTTTTTTCTCAGTTTTGAATAATATCCATAACTGAATGAGATAGCTTCAGCAGTTGAAAAATAATACAGTTTATGGTTCACAAGTAGGAAAAGAAGGCCCTCAATAACATGAAAGCACATTGGTCTGAAATTCTAGATTTGTGTATAAATCCACTGCGAAGTCCTGAATGCACAGTGGAAATTAGGAAGCTCTAGAGATGAAGTCATGATAATATACTTTTCCCCCCCTCCTCTCGGAAGGCTGAGGAAGACCCGAAGATATAAAAATTCCACAAAATCTTTCAATTTCCCTTCCTCTGCAGCTCTTTCTCTCTTTCCCATTTTATTATTCCCCTCTGAAAGCCACTGTTTCCGTCTTGTGGCACATTTGCCTCCTCGTCTTGAGTAAAGGGGATGCCTTCCTTGATAATTGTGTCTAAATTAAAAATCAATTGTAAATTGAGACACCGGGAACTTCGCCCATTCTGAATGTAATTTTTGATCACCCGCAGGCATGCTTGATATCGCTGACCCATCATTGTGTTTTATGTGGTGGCCACGGGTCTGGAGAACATTGAGAGATGTTTATTAAATATGTCTTTGTGTAGGCTGTTGATTGAAATATCCACGGGTGGGAAAGGTTAGGAATAGACAAGGGTGGGGAATCCCGTGTGTGTTTTAAATGATATGTGTGTGTCTGTGTATATTTGGGGTGGGGACATGGTGGTGGTGGAGTGGGTATTTTAATCTGAAATTCCTCAAGCTAAGCTGAGGTTGAATTAAAAAAAAAACCTGAGCATCGTAGAA